ATGATACGTAAATGCGTTTATTCATTCTTTGATGCGTTCTCGGTTTTTTCAATACGGGTCATATGGTGTTACAGACCAGTATACTGAACAAATTAAGAGGAAAGTTATTTGGTTCGTGGCCTTTCTGTAGTATCCAACATAATAATCGCCGTGCGATACCAAAGCTTTCTGTTGTTTGTTAAGCGTTTTGCTGCACGAAGTTGTAAATATTTATATGGGTTCAGGTCAAAATGGGCTTGATAGATTGCTGCAGGTCCAACGTAACTTTGATTCAGCTGGCTTGGCTTCAGGAAGGCGCGACTCTGTGACCCAATCAAGGCCGCTCGCGCCTGCGACGCACCTGCGTCTCACTCGCGCGAGTGCTCTCTGATCATCGCCTAGCCTTAATTAGGTCACGAAGCCCCGCCTTCCCAAAGCCAAGCCAATTGAATCAAGTGGTACATTGCGTCTAACGACAACAGGCCTGCGCAGTGCATTCAAACCACTACGCGCGGGTTGGCATCCTAGCTATATTATACTAGGTACATTTAACAGATTAGCTTCCGATTATCTACGAAAGAATGAGAAACAGACATAGACATAGAGAATGGTAAAAACTAAAAACTTACACAATTCCTAGTAAGACAATAGGGGAGACGGTCTTTTCGCACGGGCGGTCTCCAGCGTCTCCCTGATTTTGACTTGTCTTAACATGTAATGCACGCCGCAAATCTTTCCTCCCCGTGTTTTGCTTAGGCAAAAGCCGCCGCAGGGTGTGTCGCGCGCGGCGGTGGTCCTGTGTGGAAAGCATTACGGTCGTGCGAAACGTCACACACCCAGATACTAGCTTACGCGCGTATCGTTGACGCTGCTCGTTAGACCGGGTTTAAACTGATTTCGGAGTTCCGGAACACTCACAATTTTCGCACCGTGTTGGAACTGTGCCGCAACTGTGCTGCATGCGCTGCAGTCGCCAGCATGCGGTCTTAAGCGGCGCGAAATAACAATTTTTGACTTTCTTCAACGGTTTTCGCAATGAGTTTCGCCCTTTTTCACCTCACTCTTGTGTCTCGCTTGCTTTTATGATTGAAAAGTTTTGAAGTTTTACAACAATAAGCATTGTTTCGTTCTGTCCATCAGCTCAAAACTATCACAAATTGATGCCGCCTCCATTCGTGCACATTACTCCAAGTTCGGAGTTTTTTCAACAGAGGCGGAACAGTAATCAAAAATGAAAGAGCAAGCAGTAAAAATTGTGAATAGAAATGGGGCTGAAAAGCTTAAAAACCCAATATAGTATCATGAAAACACAAAACAAAATCCGCGATTTCCGAAATCGTAATGGTTGTATTGTATCAGTCCTCTCTGAAGACAGCTGAAGATATTGAAGATGCAGCGACTCTCTGAAATACAAAAAAGTGTTTACCAGAATAATCATGAAGGAGAAGGCGCGCATAAAAGAACATAGATTACTTACGCAAGATATGGCACGAAAAAGTTTCATTCTTAAATCTCGCTTTGAGATCACTTCCCTACATCACAAATAGAGGCAAGATGCGAGAATGGGGCAAAAACGTGCAAAAATCACCAACACCGTTGAGGAAAGCCAAAAATTGCTATTTCGCGTCGCTCAAAAACGCATGCGGACGGATGCAGCGCAGGCAGCACAGTTCCGGCGTGGTATCAGCATTGCGCGAGAACTTTTGGAACTGTTCCAAACTTCGGGATCAGTGCACTGAAGTTGAAAAATTTGCCGCATGCCTCTAAGACAAGTTATCAGGATGGCCTTACAAGGGAGCTGAATTCGAATCTGTCTTTTTTTTGTTAAAGGTTACTCTAAAAAAATTTGTGAAGGATTTTTGCGTCATAGGAAATACGGTCGGAATTCCAAAACCGCCGCGGAGATGTGGTGTAGTGGCTGATGCGATAGCTACACAAGTCAAAGCAGGTTTAGGTTTGAGTACTTTTTGTGTTTTTCAGTTTTTCATTGCCTCAATTAAACTTCTTTGTAAAGTTAGGCATTTTCAACCGTATTTCTCTTGGGCGACCATTAACCCGAAAATCCTCCATAACTTATTTCAGATAAACGAGTAGCATAAACGGCGGTTAGGCTTTGGCCATACTTTGCCCGTGTTGCCGCTGTTTCCAGTGTTACTCGTGTTATATGTATATACGTGTATACTCGTGTATACTCTGGATAAAGGGTGGAGCCTGCGATGTCTTGGTCTCCTGAGGAGCTCGTAATTATAGCGACTGCGAATGTGCCTGGCAGGCATGTCGCTTAGGTGCAAGAATATGACTCGGGTGAGAAACTTTTCGCACCTTAGTATAAATACTCACCAATTGGTGAGGTTTCGCTCCAGAAAATGAAACTGTACTGCCGATCATTTCAAGAATCAACAGCAATAAAGGCGGTAACACTGGAAACACGAGTAACACGAGTAACACTGGAAACACGAGTAACACGAGTAACACTGGAAACATCGGCAACACGAGTAACACTGGAAACATCGGCAACACCGGTAGCACGAGTAACACTGGAAACATCGGCAACACCGGTAACACGAGTAACATTGGAAGCATCGGCAACACGAGTAACACGAGCAACACTGGAAACATCGGCAACACGGGCAAAGTATGGCCAAAGCCTTATATCCGGAGCGCTCCAAGACGAGTGTGATAGTATACGTTTCATCTCAAAAGGCCACGGAGACCAAGTACCGTTTCCTTGCTAGAGACAACCCGCTTCACTTCGTGGTGTCGGATTGCATGGCTAAGGCCTCGGACAGAGTTCACGAGATTCGATCGTTGCGATTTAATCACCGCGATTTTCTTTCATTTTCATTTTACATTCAAAAATTTCGAGCTGGAGGAGTATCACAACCGAAATGCAAGCTGATCGGCATGCAATGAACTCGCAACAGTTGTCTTGTAACGATTGAATCGCGACGATCAAATCGCGTGAACTCTGTCCGAGGCTTAAAGCCACGCACCTTCTTTTGAACAAAATTCTCCCCCCCCCCCCCTTCCGATCGAACCTGCAACCGTCATTGACTCATAAATATTAGATTGTCCGGAAATTAATGTCCGTTTTGAATTTCAACCGCAATAAGTCACAAATTTCTCATTTCTGAATAGGTTGCAGGGTACCATTCGATAAAGCAAAGCAAGCTCTACAGGATAGCTTTCTTGTTTTTGCAGCAGCTTTAACTAACCTCGAATTTCGAGCCAAAAACTAAAATGATTCAACTGCACGAAAAATTGAGAAAAATCGTAACTCAGTTCATAAAAATTCTACAAAAAATCTAACTTGCTCACGTGAACACTAACCAGATAAAACATCTATATAAGCCATTGCCGTCTTTTTTCACCCTTTAGGAATCAAGAAAACGGAAATTTTCGTGCAATTCCCAAAGTGATGCTGTGCAGTCCCCACATGCGTAGTTTTGTACTACATACGTGTAAAAGTAACGTAAATTTTCAGCTCTCTACAAGCTTTGGTTCTCGAGAAATATCAAATATGGCTTTTTCTAGCCGGTGGTCCAAGCCAAAATCTAAATTTCTCGAGATTTAAAGCCTGTACTCAGACAATTGTTTCGGGAAGTTCGGGAGCGCTTGCCCGACCACCATTCATCCATGCCGCGACCTGCCCGCTAAACGCATATTGGGCCCGGTAAGTGACCGCCGGCCCGTCTGTAAGCGCCCGTTATGCATCATTAAAGTGCCCGCTACGCGCCAATAGTTGACCCGCTGTGATGTTTGAGAACCGCCCGATAAGCGGCCGCTGGAAAGCCCGCTACATTCCCGGCATGCCCTTACGGCTGGCCCGAAATGCTGGCACAGGAGACAGTCTGAAGCAGTCAGACCTCAGCCCATTTATAGCCCTTCAGGCGTATTTACTTCTTTTCATGCAAACACAAGAAACGGAAATGAGATTTTATTGATTTCAGGCTTTATATGTGAAATTCAAAACAAAATTTCGTGGCATGTGACAATCAAAACAATTGCATGACAAATAAAAACCGAATACAGATCTGACATAAATATAGAAATTTTCTTCGATCCACATCGTCTGCGGCGGCCCAGGAGTTAGTCCGAGTTGATTAAATTGCTGTCGCCATCCATGACAGTCCTCTGCGTTTCTTCTCCAGCCCTCTTAGCCTGCTTCTAAAAACAAATTATTTGATACATACAGTATCTAACAACTTTAAACAAAACCTTACTGGGCTTGGTAGCCATCCCGTGCATTCATTAAATGTGTAAGAGCGAATGTCCCGTCTAAAACAAAGCTTTATTGCAATAGAAATCTTTTTTTGCGTGTAAAAAACTTACAATGCTTTTTGGAGGGCCGTGTACATGTAGCCCCTCCACTCCGCTTTTTGCCGTTGAAGCTTACTCAAAGCTTCCATCCTCTCCGCATCGGTACTCCCCAATCACATGAAAAAAGTCGATTCCTGAAGATTTGTTGCGCCATCCTCTAGCTCCCGGCGTCCGAAGCAGAGGGCATCGATTCCGAATCCTGAAATAAAGCAATTATCGTAAAATGGAGCAGAATTCAACATACCGATTAAGGCGTCTTCCACCTGCTCGGGTAAGTTTCGTGAAGCTTCACATCTCCCCGCCCTGCGGTGTGATCCTCATAGAGTATCCCTGTATCTCGCTTGGCGGCGCGGTGATTTGAAATCACTATGTATTAGAAGATGCGAGCGAACAATACATAAAAGCTCACCTGTGCCAGTAAAAAATCGGTACAGATGAGAAATCTTCTGAAACGTCCCATCTCTCTTCCTTGGGTTCCATTGCCAGCTTTTAAGCCCAAACTTGTATCCAGAAATGGAGGTGAAGCTTCGATTCTCCAAACGTTGCTTGCTTTGTTTATGTCCACAACGACTGCGCCTGGCGCGGGAAGATGTGGTTGTTTCTTGAAATCCAGGCTTCTGGAGATCCGCTGATTCGTTGATCTGTTTATTTCACCCTGAACACCTTTATGAAGGTAATGCAAACATATCGCAAACAAACTGACTTACCAGTAACCTCAAAGCGAGAAAATTGTACTTCCACCAATGTTCATCATCATCCTCGTCCAACTCATCAAAGATGGGCCCTTGCTACCACATCTGAGCGAATGAATTCCTAAATAAAGACAGATCCTAAAGAAGAGTAAAGAAATATTCACAACAGCTCCTTACGTCATATACTGCGCGATTGAACGTCCCATCCTTCTTTTTTTTCCAAACCACTCTGGCGGCCTGATCCATATGCAAAACTCCGTTTGATACGCACTCAGACAGAGTGCACGGTCGATTGCCCTTTTCCTCAATGTCATCACGGAATTCTCTTCTTTCATTTATGCAGCCTAAATGCATTGTCAATGGCATAAATATAACATTGGCTCATATCATAATAAGATCAACGAAATACGAAGAAAACGAAGCACTAACCGTTTTGAGTTTCTTCGACGACATTGACCTCGTTCTCTTCTACGAGGAGAGGCCGCTTCTTCCTGAAAATACCTTTTCAAAATACCAAGCAAAAGAGAGAAATAGAAAGTAAGAAGCAAGAAGTGCAAAGTAGTGCCCAAAAAGACCAAGTGAGACAAGCAAAGTAAAGAAAAAGAAAAGAAAATAAACGTACGTTACTGCACTTTGTTTCATTTGTGACATGGTCGTGTAATATTGCGTCCTTTTCGGCTCCGTTGTCCTGTATACCTGCGTAGCCTCGACTACTTCATTTTCATCATCTTTTACGACTACCCGTCTTTTGCTGAAAATTGAATGAGCATGGTCAGCACCCTGTAATTGTGTAACTTACACAACGCATTTATTCTGTCACTCCTTCGCATAGAACTGTGTTCTCGTGGGTGTAATGTACATATCCGGCCAAGGCAATGGTTAGCCTGGAAAAATTCCGAAATCAATGTCTACACATTGGCGAGGAGAGGCACTCCAATGCGCCCATATCAATCACAGACAGTATTAATTTAAACTAACTGCATCACAGAAAAGATGACTAGAAGAGATGAGCATGACAAACGAAACACAGAATTGTAAAATGAACAAGAGAGTGAAACAAGACTGAAAAAGGTTGGAAAGTAGAGGCATATAAGTTTGGATCTGGATCTCAGACAGTATTGACAAGAATCTGCATCTCAGAAAAAAATGACCAAAGAAGAAAACAACCAGAGACAAAAAAATGACTGAAGAAAGGAATGACTAGCGAAGAAAATGAGTATGACAAACGAAACCGCAAAAGAATGAAAAACAAGACTGAAAAAGGTTGGAAAGTAAAGGCAAATAATTCATCAATGGATACTATTCTCAGACAATTGCACCGGGAAGTTCGCGAGTGCTTGCTCGGCCACCAATCATCCATGCCGCGAGCTGCCCGGTATAAACGATATTGGACCCGGTAAGTGACCGCGGCAAATCCTGTAAGCGCCCGATAGTTGACCCGATTAGCATGATTGTGAGGCCTGGAGAGTGAAAAAAATTTTGCCTGTCTTTCTGACAACGATTGAGTACAAATTGAGCAACTTGTTAGCTCATCTGTCGACATCATCTACTGTCGTCGATAACACTCAAGCGATTGCTGAAGTTTGTTTCGTGAGTATATAAACTCAGATGTCACACAACCGAACCCGAGAAGCGATCACCAGCCCCACAAACACTTAGGGTAACTCCATCGCCGCGGCGTACCTCACGCGGGTTGCTCCTTAAGCTACAGCGTGTAAGAAGTGCGGCCTCTGATAAGGCCCGTGGCACGCCGAGTGAGGTGATTGGGCCGCGACTCTCCCGATAAGCTCTTTCCAATTTTGACTTTGACCGCGACGTTTCCGATAAAATTTACATGGGCCGCGGCGTGGGCGGCTGGAATTTTAAGGGCCGCGGCGCCCCATGTAGCACGCTTTGAGGCCGCGAACTTTCCGATGCAATTGTCTGAGTAGATGCTTTTGATAGACAATATCGAGCATGAACAAAGAATAAATATGAGGCGCTTACATCCATAATTTGCCATTCCTGAGATATTAACAGCTTGCAGCGTCGAACGTGTGGTTTTTGTAGTCATGATAAATAGTTGCAAGTGTTGCAAGTACTGAACAAAAACAACTATTATATGCATAGGTATATTTGCAAAAATATCGAGAAGCATGACATGAGCAACCGTTGAAGAGGCAGAATAATAGAACTTCATAAAATACAAACACAATAAAGGTAGGTCCGTTTCGTTCCTTCCCTTAGACGGAAAAAGAAAAAAACAGAAAACGAATAAAAAGCCTTTCCCGGAACTCATCGGTAAGGAAGAAAGGCTTCCAAAATGAATGAACTCGCAGAAAATGCTTAAAATGGTCATTTAAAAGTAACATAATAAAATAAATTACAAGTCAAATGAATGTTTGATTTGCTAAAATAGCAAAGGAAATGAGGAAAGCTTGGTTGAAACTTGAAAAAAAACAGAGGACTTGAAAAATCAACATAACAAGATAAAACAACAATAAGCGAAAAAAGAATGTTCAATTTGCTAGAACAACGCTAAAGAATGGAGAAACGCGCAGCAGAAAACATACTTTTGCTTTATTTGTCTGCATCCTTATACCCTCTTCCAAGATGCGCACTCTCCAGTGCCCGCGAGCCACCCGATAAAAAGTTTGAGGGTCGCGGCTTTTCCGATGAATTTTTTGTAGGATCACTTATACGCCGCGGCGCGCCCGTCAAAAAATGCATGGCCCGCGGCTCACCGGACTGAAAATTCAAGGGCCGCGACCCGCCAGACTAGAAATGCAAGGGCCGCGGTGTGCCGCACTGAGAATTTTGAGAGCCGCGACGTGCCGGGCTAAAATTTCAAGGGCCGCGGAGCTCTATATAACTCGTTTTAAGGCCGCGAACTTGCCGATACAATTGTCTGAGTAGAGAGCCGAAAATTTAGGTTGTACTTATACAGGTCTGTTGTATACGACTACTTATGTGAGGATGACACAGCATCACTTCAGCAAATGCACGAAAATTCCGTTTTCTTGATTTCTAAAAAGTGAAAAAAGACGGCAACGGCGTATATAGATGTCTTATGTGGATAGTGTTTATGTGAGCAAGATAGAATTTTTGGATTTTTATGAACTAAGTTACGATTTTTCTCAATTTTTCGTGCAGTTGAATCATTTAGTTTTTTGGCTCGAAACTCAAGGTTAGTGAAAGCTGCTGCAAAAACAAGATAGCCATCCCGTAAAGCTTACTTTGCTCTATCGAATGATATCTCGCAACTATTCAGAAATGAGACAGTTTGTGACTTACTGCAGTTGAAATTCAAAACGGACATTAATTTCTGGACAACCTAATATATTCTTGGAAAACAATCAAAGTTTCGAATTGCGGTATCCTATATTCATTTTGGTCTCATTTCCAAGAGTTGTTAGAAAATTAGTCTTGTTTTTGCAGCTCGATCATTTCTTACTTCATGTGGGTAATTTGCAAAAAAAAATCCAGCGTTTTTTTTGGAAAAAAATCCAAATAGTATATAAGCTACCACGCGTTTACCGGACTGCAATACAATTTTAGATGCAAGACTAGCCAACTTAGACTAGGGAGGATGCTAAATTTCACGCTATTCACCGGGCTGATTCACTCCGCATCATTCAATCACATAAAATCGTATAGCTCGAGACGTCGTTTCGACGTGAAAATCGGGTTGATATCAAATCCCGCAACTTGTGCCAAATAAATAGGTGATATGTTTCATCCTCGCCTTTCTCTTCTCTTGCCGTCCTTTCCGTGGCTTTGTTTCGACACCACCAGTAGGGGAAAGCCCTTCTCCCTCAGGCTTGACCGGTTTTGTAGTAGGATTAGTGCAAGTGATCGACAGTAACTAGAACAGGTCAAAAATACGCTGTAATCCTAACTAAGCCTTTGATTGCTTGTTTATTTGAGAAATGGATTTTCTAGTTAGAGATAGGGGGAAGGGGGGGGGGGGAGGGGGAGGGAAGATGAGAGAAGTCGTCTGTGATTGTCTGTGGAACGCTCTACAGATAATTTTGATTTTTCAATCATTTTGTTACTCTTTTCTCTAGTTCCACTTTTTCATCAACTAAACTTTTACTGCTTTATGTTTATCAAAACTGTTTCACCTTCTTTTGTAATAAGTGTCTGATTGACAGCGCAAGAATTACTCGAGTATGCAAAATGTTTCAGAACAAATGAGAACAAGTAGCCAAAAAATAGGTCATGAAAAAATGTGACAATTGTTTTTTGAGAGCTGGTTTGCCAACAGCTACGCCCTCAAACTTGTGGGTAGTTTTTGTTATTATAATATATATCAGACTAAAGATGGAAAAGGTTTCGCGGGTGGGAGCTTTGAAGGCCTTACAATTTGGAATGCGAATAGCATACAGGAGAAAATTTCACTTAAATTTTTTATCGAGTTCTCCACTCTCCGCTTTCTTTTTCCTTCTCGTTCGTCCGATTACCGCTTTCTCCTGTTTGAAGCAATATATCCTTTCTTTGTTTGAAAACTTGCATGCAATTCTTGCGCGAAAGCCGCCACAGTTTACAGAGAAAATACAATTTTCTATATGCTCTGTCTTTTCTTCAATTTTCAGCTCTTCATTCTTATAGGAATCAGAGATGCATAGCTGGACTTTTATCGTTTAGAAATTTTTGAATGATTATCACCGTGGCCTCGTGAATATCATGCAAACATTTTCATATCAACACCTTAGAGTGTGAAAATTTAATGGCCTTAGGATAATTTCGTCCCTGCTGACTTCTCCCTCCTTCTTTTGCATCGCACTCATTCTAATAGTATAAAGCAATTTTTAGTACTGTTACTAGTGTTGATAAGTATTTTTCTCAAAAACTCCTAATCCTCCTTATTCGATTATCAAGTGCCGTCTTCACTCTGTACTTCATAACCTCATGACAAAACTTGATTACCATTTTCTAAGGTACATCACGATTTTTCAGTTCTAACACTTACCTGCTGTTGCTCTTTCTACGCGCATAAGAATATATTCGCTTTTCTCTTTTCACAATGTAGAAACATAGCCGGGAACACGAGTCGAGGAAAATGTCATAGCGTTTTGTTTTGTTTGTTTTTGTTTTTGTCATAAATCTCTCCTTGTTGAAGTGGCTGAACTGGTTTACTTGTGCTTTCCCCAAAAATTCTGCCTTTTTGCATTCTCTTAAATATTGGAGATACGAAATAAATAATGTTCCCTTAACAAATTTTCTGCAATCCCGGTTCTGTACCCTTGCAATATTCCAATCACCTCTAAACGACTTCAAGTTTTCGAGATTCCAGGTTTACATTCTTTTTTGATTTACTAAAAATATGTCAAGTCGATTGGGAATTAGCTTGAAAAGTTACGTGACAATAGCGTTAGGAATATTTTCCAAGGGAAAGGGGGTGGGGGTAAACACCGCAGAAAATCACCTTTATTTCCAGCTTTTATTTTTTGCCAAGAGTTTGCCTCTTCAAAAGTGATTATGCGTAAGCAGGGTAGCGCTGGCTCTGAAAACTGCTTTGCTGATCTTATTTATATAAGATCCTTTCAAAATCCGTTTATGAAGCAGTAAGTGACTCAGTCATCGGGGGGGGGGGGAAGGTGGGATGAGGTATTGTCTATCATATCCAAACATTTCAAAAAATGTCGTGGCTTGTACCTACGATATGACAC